AGTGTTGTGTGTTTCTTCCAAACAACTCAACTTTGGTTTCATCTGTACACAGAAAATGTTGTACTGCTGTGGAACATCCAGGTGCTCTTGTGCAAAATGTAAACGTGCAGCAATGTTTTGTTTGGACAGCAGTGGCTTCCTCTGTGGTATCCTCCCATGAAATCCATTCTTGTTTAGTGTTTTACATATTGTAGATTCACTAACAGGGATATTAGCATTTGCCATTGACTTTTGTAAGTCTTTAGCTGACACTCTAGGATTCTTCTTCACCTTGTTGAGCAGTCTGCACTGTGCTCTTGCAGTCATCTTTACAGGATGGCCACTCCTAGGGAGAGTAGCAGCAGTGCTGAACTTTCTCCATTTATAGACAATTTGTCTTACCGCGGACTGATGAACAGCAAGGCCTTTGGAGATACTTTTATAACCCTTTCCAGCTTTATGCAAGTCAACAATTCTTACTTGTAGGTCTTCTGAGAGCTCTTTTGTGCGAGGCATCATTCACATCAGGCAATGCTTCTTGTGAAAAGCAAACCCAGAACTGGTGTGTGATTTTTATAGGGCAGGGCAGCTGTAACCAACACCTCCAATCTCATCTCATTGATTGGACTCCAGTTGGCTGACATCTCACTCCAATTAGCTCTTGGAGATGTCATTAGTCTAGGGGTTCACATACTTTTTCCGCCTGCACTGTGAATGTGTACAATAAAAACATGGCAACATTTAATTCTTTGTGTGTTATTAGTTTAAGCAGACTATGATTGTCTATTGTTGTGACTTAGATGATGATCAGATCACATTTTATGATCAATTTGTGCAGAAATCCATATCATTCCAAAGGGTTCACATACTTTTTCTTGCAACTGTATGTGGCAGTATAGGAGCCCAGCAGCCATGGAAATTAATGAAGCTTGTTATCAGCTAAGGAAAACCCAATGTGGCCATTATAACAAATGATTTTGTGATATCATATCTTTGTCACTCACCTTTTGTCCCCTACTCTCTTTCTTTTTATGTTTCCAGATCATTCCATTACTTCAAGCACCATTTTCAGCCTTCTCCTTACATTATGTTATGATGTTATTATTTATATAGTACCAACAAATTCTGCAGCGCTTTACAGTGGGTGGACCAACAAACATGTAATTGTAACCAGACAAGTTGGACACACAGGAACAGAGGGTTTGAGGGCCCTGCTCAATGAGCTTACATCCTAGAGGGAGTGGGGTAAAGTGACAGAAATGGTAAGGATAGTATTAGACTAGTGACAGTTGCAAGAAAGGAATCTGTCGGGACCTATTAACAGTTTAATTGATATGCTTTTATGAAGAAGTGGGTTTTTATTGAATGAGTGAAGACTGGGTGAGCATCTAACGGAGGAGGGACAGGAGTTCCACAGGAACTGTGCAGCCCTCGAGAAGTCTTGGAGGCGATCATCACAGGGGGAGTACGGACAGAAGATAGACGTAAGTCTTCAGCAGAGCGTAAGGGTCTAGACGGGACATACTTGTGTATTAGGAAGGATAGACAGGTGGAAGCAGCATTATGTAGAGATTTGAAAGAACCAGAATTTTAAATTGAGCCCTATATCTTACAGGAAGCCAATGTAGGGACTGACAGAACGCTGAGGCATGGGAGGTGCGGGCGGCAGGAAGATGAGCCTAGCCGTCGTATTCATTATGGACTGTAACGGTGCAAGTTGGGAGCACAGAAGACCACTGAGAGGCGGATCACAGTAGTCAAGGTGAGAAAGGACAGTGGACTGGACCAGCACCTTAGTCGCATCTGGGGTTAAATAGGGTCGAATGCGCGCAATGTTTTTGAGATATAAGCGGCAAGATTTGGTGATAGAATGAACATGAGGTGTGAAGGAAAGGTCAGAGTCAAAGAGAATACCTAGGCAGCGAGCCTGACCTCTTATACTCCTTTCACTGACTAAGCCTCCCCATACTGTCTTCCTAGGACTTAGTTTCTCTTTTCCCCATCTTCCTCAGTCCCACGATTGTTTTTCTCTCCTTACCATGAACCATGCTGACTATTGTGAATATTATTGTGAATTTTGCTGTTGAGGATCTTTGTAATATGCTCATATGTATGAGAAATGTGTTTTGTCAGCCAGGTGATGACCATTTCATGAGCACAGATAATTACAAAGATGCTTATTTTAAATGGAGACTCTAAGAACCAAAATAACTTTAGTTTAATGAAACAGTTTATGTGTATAGATCATGCCCCTGCCATTTAGGAGTTAAATCACTTTCTATATGCAGCCCTAGTCATACCTCCCCTGGCAGTGAGTCACATAGTCACTCTACACATTTCCTGAAAGAAAGGTCTATATTAGTTTTAACGTCCTGTATTGCACATTATATTTAATTTAGAATGTCTTATCTTCTGCTCTGCTAATAGCCTGCTTGAGCCTGCAGTAGCATTCTGTATGTGATTAAAGTTCAATTAACATAGCAGGAGATTAGAACACACTGTGCTGTACACATAGTGCTGTGAAAATAAAACATTTTCTTTATGCAGGCTGTTTTTGTGAGTCATACTGCCACCATACCTGAAGCAAATTACACCCATCACACCTATTTTTCAATGTTATTACCAGTGGAGGCTTGTTTCTTCCAAATTCTAAACCCACCCACTGAAACCCTATCACCCCCTGATTCTACCTCTGTCTCTTACCTGTCATCACTGCTGACACAATATCCACATATAGAAAGAAAATGAGTAAGTATTAGATAATTCTTTAGAACGAGTTTTATTTTTATCCCTATCTTCATTTTCTTTGTTAAAGAGTAAGCTGTCAGAAGTGTCAATATTTAAACAACATTTTTCATTTGACACCCAACATTTACAAATGAAAAGTAATATAAGAAATTAGCTGTTCAATAATCCTATGTGCAAAAGAAATAGGAGTCAACTGTGCTTGACTTAAAGGGTAACTGTCACCAGAATTTTTATTATCATTGTAAAAATCCTTCAAGCATGTAATGAAAAGATATGGCATTTCTTTAAAATGAAGTATATGTAAACATACCTGAAAGTCTAACCCCTACATTCACTGAACACTAGATCCATTTGCCATATTCATACACCTTTGTTTGGACTTAGGTAGAAGCCGTCGTTAGGCTCCTGCCCTGCTTCACTCTACGCACAGAGCATCACCCATCACTCTATGTGGTCTCTCTGGTTCTAATTCCGACCGTATTCCATTGGCAGTTCTCATAATTACTAAAGATAAATGTGGTCAGAATCTGGTCGATCCTACCGATTCTGTAACATTGGTTTGGATGAGGAAATCACTGTTTTTCCAAACTCATCCAAACCAAACTACAGTACTGGAATCGTAAATTATCATTAATTTGCTATTTGCAACAGGCAAATAGTTAAAAACACTAAGCAACACGAGGGTCAATTATATGACGGAACAAAAGCTAAAAGAAATTAATAAATTAGTAAAATAAATTGTAAATAAAGATTCTATTTTACCTCCATATGTGGGGGCATGTCTACTAGACAGTTATATTAGTGACTGGGCAGCTATTGAGTCTACAACCCACACAAGTGGCTCAGGTAGTGCAGCTCATCCAGGATGGCACATCAATGCGAGCTGTGGAAAGAAGGTTTGCTGTGTCTGTTAGCGTAGTGTCCAGAGCATGGAGGCGCTACCAGGAGACAGACCAGTACATCAGGGGACGTGGAGGAGGCTGTAGGAGGGCAACAACAACCGCTACCTCCGCCTTTGTGCAAGGAAGAACAGGAGGAGCACTGCCAGAGCCCTGCAAAATGACCTCCAGCAGCCAAAAAAAATCCATGTGTCTGCTCAAACGGTCAGAAACAGACTCCATGAGGGTGGTATGAGGGCCCGATGTCCACAGATGGGGGTTGTGCTTACAGCCCAACACCGTGCAGGACGTTTGGCATTTGCTAGAGAACACCAAGATTGGCAAATTCGCCACTGGCGCCCTGTGCTCTTCACAGATGAAAGCAGGTTCACACTGAGCACTTGTGACAGACGTGCCAGAGTCTGGAGATACTGTGGAGAACGTTCTGCTGCCTGCAACATCCTCCAGCATGACCGGTTTGGCAGTGGGTCAGTAATGGTGTGGGGTGGCATTTCTTTGGGGGCGAGCACATGGAGGTGTGAGGGTCTGGGAGGGAGGGTCTGCTGCTGATTGGCTGGAATGTGTCTGCTGGCTGTGAGGTACAGGGTCAAAGTTTACTCAATGATGACGAATAGGGGGTGGACCAAACAGTGCATATGTTCGCCATCCGTGGCGAACCGTTCGGCGAACCGTTCGGGACATCACTATTGGTTAATACTGCACTCACATGCATATAAATAAGCATAAGAAAAATGAATCACTGCGTAAATATGCCTCATGCCTTTTGGCGTTTATAGTATTTAAGGGAGATCTTTTTAGTTTCATGTTGGCCCCTGATGAAGGTGCAACTCTTAAGGCACCGAAACGCGCGTTGGGCGTTTTTCTCTTACTCTATGAGCACTGGGCACTGGTGTTTAGAGCACCATGATTTGCACTAGCTTTATGGGATTCTTATAATTTTTTTGATTTTGATTTTCACTTTACCTGTCACTGTATCTCATCTCTGCTTCTATGCCTATCTAGTGAGCTTACCAGGGAGAGAGGCTTTTTTTTTTTGTTGAAATTTGTATTTTATTGGTTTTCACATCAAAAAACGAAGGGTGGGTGGGGTTGGGTACAGAAAAAAGAAAAGGGAGGTGGGAAAGGGGGGGATACAGTCACTTTACATCGAATCTTATGTCGGTTAGGAATATATAAAAATTGACATTTGCAGGTATTTGAAGCGGCTCAACAGCGCACAGTAATCGGTTGATCTCCTTATGCATCACAGTACAAATGATCCGACTATCTAGGCTTACTACCCATTCCTAAGTCCCAGTCTGCTTTATATTACTCTCAGACGTATCATTGTTCCCCACAGTCTTGAGGCGATTGCTACCCCCAGTCTACCTGCGTTTAGCTTTTGTGGTTAGTTAAGTTGTTATTGGTGGGTACGTGTTGTGCGTTAGCATTTCTCCAAGCTCGCCACTGTTCCCATGTGCTACCACTGCATTTGGTGCTATTCTGCGCTTTGGAAAAGCTTGTTTCGTAAATAGCCTGCTTGTCTATGTCTTGGATGAGGGCAGGAATGCTAGGGGTTTCTGTTGTTTTCCAGAGTCGTGCTATCAGTTTTTGTGCGGTTAGCAGGACGTGGTACATTAATTTTCTCGCTTGTGTGGGTGTTTCTCTGGGTATATCTAACAGTAAAAAGGTCTTAGGGTCAAGGGGTAGGTGGATGGTAGTAGTATCTGCAATGATTTTTCGTGTGTCTTCCCAATACCTGACTAGGCGTGGACATTTCCACCAAATGTGGAGGACCGAGCCTTTCTCTTGTTTGCATCTCCAACACGTCGGAGACGCAGTGGGATACAGTTTATGTATACGTAGCGGCACCATATACCACCGATATATTGTTTTCTGGTGTTGTTCTATAAGGGGAGCAGATTTGATCAATTTTCTAGTGGAAGATGTGATGGAAGACCACTGTCTCTCAGTGATGGGAGTTTGGAGGTCCATTTCCCATTGGTGTGCTGGAGTGGAGTCAGAGAGGGATTGGTATGGCAGAATAAGTCTGTAGCATCCAGATAAGGGTTTGAAGGTCTGGGGTAGTTTGCCTGTGATGCCTGTTTGTTCCCAGGTCGATAGCTCACTGGTAATTGTAGTCTCATTTCTACTATCTTTATTGCGTGTGTGTAGAAAGGATTTAAGTTGGATGTATGAATAACTTGATGTGTGTGGAAGGTTAAAGATCGTGTTGAGACGGTCAAAACTCATCAGCTTGCCTGATTCAAAGACCTGAGCTAGGTGTGAGATTCCCTTGCCCTTCCACGGCATTGCGTGAAATGTTGGGATGCAGTATGTTATGGCTTCTATGGGAGTTGCCATGGAGAGGGGGTTGGCTGTCTCAAACTTCCTACTATGCGTGTCCCAAATTTGTAATGCTAATTGTACTTGTAGGGGTAGTAACGGTGTAGTTGGTCTGTTTGTTTTGTGCAACCATATCAGGATGTTGATTGCAAAGGGCTTAACAGCTAGGTTCTCTAGGTGTACCCATTGTGGTTGGTTGTTCCTCACCAAATGTGTTAATAGAGGGGTTAAGACTGCCGCCTGATAGTAGGCTTTTACATTCGGAAACGCCATGCCCCCGTGTTTCACTGGTGCGGATAGTAGTTTGCAAGAAATTCTCGCCCGTTTTGCTCCCCAGGTAAACTGCAGTAGCTTCGATTGTATGGTTTTAAAGTAAGATTGTGGTACCTTTAACGGGAGGTTCCGAAACACATATTGAAGTTTCGGTAGTACCGACATTTTAATAGCCACAATACGTTCCGTCCAAGTAAGGAACAGTTTTTCCCAGCCCCTTATCAAGGTCAGGCACTCATTCCATACTTTGGTGTAGTTAGTTGGGAACATTTCGGAAGCTTTTTTGGTGAACGTCAGGCCTAGGTATTTAATATCGTTCGTGCGCCATTCGAATTGGTAGGTTTTACGTAGATGTGTGAGGGCTAGGGGATCTAAACGTAACCCTAATGCTTGTGTTTTGGAAGTGTTTAAGGAGTAGTATGAGAGACCACCATATTCCTCGATAAGGTGCATTATGTGTGGTAGGGAGGTAACAGGGTGGGAAACATATAGAAGGATATCATCCGCAAATGCACTAATCTTGATTTGGCGGCCGTGCCAATTTACGCCTTTAATGTCTGGATGGGATCTAATGGCTATTAGTAAGGGCTCCAGGGCCAGTACGTACAACAGGGGGGACAGAGGGCATCCCTGTCGGGTGCCGTTTGTAATGCGAAAGGGATCTGATTTGAAACCTGCTTGTAGTACCTGAGCCCTTGGGTGTGAATATAGGGCGAATACTTGTTGAATGAACTGTTGTGGGAATCCAAATATCGATAAGACTTGTTTCAAGAAGGACCAACCTAGGCGGTCAAACGCTTTTTCAGCGTCCAGAGCTAACAGTAGCCCACCTTGGCCTGATCTTCTCAATTCTTCCATAATTAGGGACAGTTTTTGTGTATTGTCTAGCCCCTGCCTCCCCATCACGAACCCTGTTTGGTCATCGTCTATGATTGAGGGCAGGATTTTACCCAGTCTGGAGGCCAGGATTTTTGCGTATATCTTAGCGTCTGTATTTAATAAGGAGATAGGTCTAAAATTTTTACATTGGTCCGGGGGTTTCCCAGGTTTTGGCAGGGTAACTATAGTTGCTAGTAGCATCTCAGGAGGGAGTTCTCCCGAGTCAGAAGCTGCTTGGAATATTTGGACAAGTTTAGGGCCTAATATGTCTGCAAATGTTTTATAATACAGGTTTGGTAGGCCGTCTGCTCCTGGGGTTTTTCCTGGGGTGAGGTTCCTTATTGTTTGGAGTACTTCTGGTAGAGTAATAGGTTGGAGTAATTGTTCTATTTGGTGGTGGTTTATTTTGGGGAGGGGTAGACGGGTTAGAAACTCCGTAATGTTACTGTCCTGGATGGGGGGGGTATCTGGTCTTTCGCCCAAATTATAGAGGCCAGAGTAATAGTTGGCAAACTCCTGAGAGATATCCATTGGGTTTTGTATTTTATTACCTTCTGGGTCTTGAATATGCGCTATTTTGGTGGCTGCCAGCTTTGCTCTCAGCCTGTTAGCTAGGAGTTTGGTGGCTTTCCCGCTGTGGTGGTAGTGGGTCGCTTTGAGCTTGTGTAACATGTATGAGGTTTTGACCGCTTGTAATTCGGTGATTTTATCTAGCAGATTTTGGATTTGTAGTGCTAGGGCTCGAGAGGGGGCACCTTTATTTTGGGTAGTTAAGTGTGTTAATTGCCGTTGGTATTCCATTAAAGTCGCTTGTCTATGCTTTTTAAGATACGAGGATTGTCTAATAAATAAACCGCGAACAACGGCCTTATGGGCCGACCAGGTGGTCAAGGCTGATGTTTCCCCACCTGAGTTTGTCTGAAAGTAATTGTTAAGGTCAATCTTTATTTGTTCCACGAAGTTACTATCTTATAGTAGGGACTCGTTTAGTCTCCAGTTCCCTCTACCTTTGAACTGATATGTATCATATAGATCCAGGGACACCAGGCCGTGGTCAGACCACGTAATGTCTCCCATCGTACATTTGGCTACTTGTGGTAATGTAGATTGGTCCACGTAGTAGGTGTCTATGCGGGTGTAGGTATTATGTACTTTGGAGTGGAAGGAGTAATCCCGTTCTCTTGGGTGGAGTATTCTCCAGCTATCATACAGGTTATGTAATGTGAGCAGTCTAGACAGTTTTTTGCCTGTGGATACTATATTTGCTCGTCTAGTGCCTCTTGGGAGTGCTGTGGAGTCTAAGTCCGGGGATATTATAAAGTTAAAATCCCCGCACATCAACAATCCCCCCTGTCTCACCTTATCTATCTCTTTGAGGATGAGTCTGAGGAATTGTTCTGAGCCAGTGTTGGGGAAATATACAGAGGCCAATGTATATTGGACATTATTGAAGAGACCCACTAGGATTACATATCTTCCCTGGGGGTCTATAGAGACTACTTTTTCTTGAAATGCTATGGATTTATGTATGAGAATAGAGACTCCCTTCGTCTTTTTATCAGAAGTAGCGTGGTATTGTGTTGGATAAATTTTTGTGTAGAGTGCAGGGGTACGGAGTGTTGGTGAAGTGTGTTTCCTGGATACACGCGACGTCTATGTCCTCTTTTTTCAGATCTTGCAGTAGTAGCCTGCGTTTACCCGGGGAGTTCAATCCTTTTACATTATACGTTATTATTTTAACCATGGTTGTATATATAGGGAGGGGATGCTATGGAGCGTGAGCTTGGTTACTACTGGTGCTGCTGGGTCATTGCAGTATGTCAGTTTGGTAAGCCTGTGGCGGTTCTGCTGTGCCAGACTTTGGGTTCGTGACTGGGGGAGAGAATGGGTAGGATGGAAGTGGGTGGGGTAAAACTGGAAAAACTGGTGGGTGACACACCCAATTTGGCTCCGAGGAGTGGAGCCTCGAGACTCGCCTAATAGATAGGCCCGTCTAGTGGGGGTAGTGGTGGTAAGGTCTTTACACATAGTAAGCTTCCACCTGAAACCAAAAGAGCATTTGAACATCAAATTGCAAAACTAACAGGTCGTGAACAACATTTAACTGATCTTAATAATTTTCTAAACACAGCCTCGCTATAAGTTGGCATCAATGTTTTAAAATGTGCCTTTATAGTGGGCTAATCTCAATAAACTTCTAAACACAGCCTCGCTATAGGATGGCATCATGGCTAGTATGTGCCTTTATCTTGCCTGCGCCCCCGTGGGGGAATAGTAGAAAAGCTTATTGGGCAGCGCCGCATTCTAACCAGCAGTTTCTGCTGCTTGTTGCAGGTCAGGTAGTTTGAAGTATAACAATAATTAATAAATACATTTTGGCTAAGTAAGCATTAAGCTATAGCCCTGTAACTTGAAAGTTTTAGCATTTTAACTTGCACAGTGTTTATGGAATAGTTACGCGTGTTCCAGGGGAAGGGCAGTCTTTCGTTTGACAGTCCATTCCAGTGACATCTTGGGCACTTTTGTTTTAGTTGGTTCTGTCGCCGGTTGGGGGAGCCCCCAATCTCTTCTGGACGCCTTGCTTCAGGGTCGTGATGGCGTGTATGGCCCCTTGGTGGGAGATCAGAAGTTTGGCAGGGAATCCCCATCTGTAATTCAGGTCGTGCTCCCACAGGGTGGAGGTGATCGGCGCCATTGATTTTCGGAATTGGAGAGTGTCCGCTGATAAATCCGCGAAGATTTTGATGGAGTTGTATTCGTTCGGCATACCTGGGTTTCTGCTAGCCCGCATGATCTTATCTTTAGCGTGAAAGAAGTGTATTCTAGCGATTACATCTCTCTCTGCAGTTTGCGGCAGGTGTTTCGGTCTGCGCAGCCTGTGCACCCTGTCGATTAATAGTTGATCCGGGTGTATTTCTGGTACTAGGCTCTGGAGCATTTTTGAGAGATAATGTTGGAGCTCGGCGTTTGTAATTGTTTCTGGGATTCCTCTGAACCGCAGATTGTTCCGCCTTGCCCTATCCTCCATGTCAGCTAACTTTAGCCTGTGTACTTCCAGAATGCCATCCAATTCCTGGACTTTGTCTGCTAAGCTGTTATGTGCTTCCGCATGTTCGTCCATTTTGGACTCCACCTGAGCTGTGCGATTTCCTATTTCATGTATGTCTCTCTGTAAGTCTGCAGTCAGAGCCTGAATTTGCAGCTGTATGCTTTTCTGTATATTGTCTGAAAATTCAGACATTAGGGCACGGATACCTCCCATCGTAGGTGGCTGGTCTTCTGTCTGCCGTGTGGGGGATGATTTGGGTGAGGGGGAGTTTTCCCGCGGTCCGAAGTCGCCGCCATCTTGCGCAATCTCCTCTCCCTCGCGCTGCTTGGATGCCGCGAGTTTCGTGCCGAAAAAGGAGGCACGCTCTGCCTTCCCAGCTTTGTTTTTAGGGCGCTGGGACATGTTGTGTACCTTCCCCAGGTGACCCGGGTATGTGCCGCTTATTATACCGGTTGTTGTGTGCTCGTTTTGGAGTCTGTGCCGGGAGCTGCTCCTACATGCGACCGTTCAGCTCCGGCGTCAGGCCACGCCCCCGGGAGAGAGGCTTTTTAATTGAACATTGTCAGTTTTCTAGATACTGACCTTCTAACTAAATTCCATCTCTCTCTGTGTTCTACTATGAACCTTTTCCTGTTTGGAATTCATTTTTTTATGATGACTAATTATTGATTGATTGGGTCTGTGCTTAAATCTACATTGTACCCTGCTCTAGACAGAGGAGGTTTCTATCTTAAATATAAGCGCAGTACCTATCCTACTGATCACATACAGGAATAGGTAGAGACTATCCAGAGACAGTCTTGTATTAGGATATTATAATTGCGTTTGACCCATCCATATTTAGCATTTCTTTTAATAAAGCTGTAATTCAGGCTTGGGTGCATACAACTCACCATGTACTTTATATGATATCCCTATTTGACCTATTACTCTGGTTGGCATATTAGCATTAGTTCCACTTGCATATTATTGTTTTTCTATTTATTATTTCTTACATTTGGTCTCCTGGAGTCCTTATTATATATGTTTAGCCAGTTTATTACCACTACTACATAGCTATATATATTTCCATGTGATGCAACTGTTCTCAGGAAGGTTTATGCACTGAGAACTAGTGGCATCTTTCTTTTTGTTTGTTGTATTTATTTTTTATAAAAAATTAATATGAATACCGCACTCAATATAGTAAAATAATCAACCGTTGGTGAAAAGGTACTGTAATTTAATTTATTTTATTTTAATTCTTAAATTCATAGGTATTTAGCTTTATGTAAAAGATTATGATTTAATCAAAAGAATATATTACATCATATAATCAATCGCTATTTACAAAAATAACCTCCATGGATATTATATAAATTTGGATAATGGTTGGATCTGTTGTAATCTATGTACATAGAAAAAATAATAAGAAAAAAATAATAAGAAAAAATATGAAAAAAATAAGAAAAAATGAGAAAAAAAATAAAAAATGAAAAATGAAAAATGAAAAATGAAAAGATAATATATGTCCTGATGTACAATAGTCCAAAAAATAGTGCACTTAAGTAATAAATAGGTGGATCTCACCCAATGAAGTATCCAGATGGATTGTAGCCTTAGAAGCAACTGGAAAATTTGTGGAGAATCTGTGATGAATGAAAAGGTGACTGTATATCAATCGGAGAGAAAAAAAGGCTGAAAAAAGAGAAAAATAAGAGAAATACAAAATACAAAAATAGAAAACTGATAAGTTCAAAAGGCTGCAAAAAGTGCGCTGATTAGATGATGAAAAAAATGGTTGGATCTCTCCACAGATTATTTTTAATGTAGGTGTGGACCATAGAGTTAAATCTATTCACTAGCAGTAAGATGTCCAATCGCTTGTTGAAAGAAAGATGTTCAAAAGAATATCCTATGATCAAATGGAGCAGTAATAGGAAGTGATCCTCATCTGAACCAGTCTGCAGTTGCGGTCTCCTGTCTCACGTGTCTGGTGTCTGTAACTGGGCCCAGTTCCTATTACTGCTCCATTTGATCATAGGATATTCTTGCTGGATGGAGTGAATATATATAAGTGTGCACTCACATTTTATGAAGCCTTCTGGTGGCTCATAGTGAATAGCATTGAGTGGAATGATCCCCAAGAAATATTGGAACAAAGACTGCATGTGCAGCAATTACAATGCTTCAATGCAATGCTTGTCTATGAAAGCATTCACTTCTGCATTGAACTACAAGTAATAAGAAATGCCTACCTGACACCTGGCAGGTGTTACTAGGGAGATTATAAAAGTGTAATTGTAATTATAATTATAGTGCAAAAATCTGCACTTTTATAAAATAAGCCTGAATAGACATAGACTTACAGTATTGGTCATAGATGAATATAAGAGTTATGTAATAAAATAAAGTAAAAGGTGAATACTTTTGTGCTATTATGTCCGTGTAAAATATTACAAATGACAAAAAAAGAGCAGTTGTAAAAAGTGTCGACAATTCTTATAATCAAGTAATACTATTACAATTGAAGATTATATTAGCTTTAGTGTACTAATAATCTTAATTTTAGTAATGACAGGAGGCGAATATTTGCATATCTTTCTTTACTGAAAACTCCAGCAGCATAGAAACATAACAACCAATCAGAGAAAAGTTATGATGCCCATAAAAGGCCCTGTCTATGCCATCACTTCCTCTTTCTTTGAAGCGAAACAACAAAAACAATTATAAACATAAACATAATAAACGTCAACAGGTCAATAACATCATGAATATCCAACTTCAGACATTCCGTGCTGTAGAGGTATGGAAGGTGGATCTTTGTCTTGTTGAGAAGACGTTCACACTGCAAGAAAAAGAAAAAAGGTGAAAGGTCTCTGACGTGGTAATTTGTCCGCATGCAATCCACCGTAAGAAACTGACATAACCATGGATGTCTGAGACATTACTGTATCGCATATATTAATTCTAAACTAATGTTATTTAATAAATATATATATCTACAACATATTCCAAGCTACATGTCCCATTATTCATTCTATACAATTCATTCAAGATACACATCTAAGTCTTAAACATACAACCAGATATCGCTCGTGTCTTCCTGAACATTAAAGGCGTATTCTGATCACTCGAGTAAGATCTGGGGTGGATCCTATAGAGTGGGAAATATTCGCCTCCTGTCATTACTAAAATTAAGATTATTAGTACACTAAAGCTAATATAATCTTCAATTTTACCACATGACAGGAGGCTTCATATTTGCATTTGTAAAGCTTCGAATTGATTAATGTGAAGGAAGCGTGAGCTGTTTGCAGAAAATAAAACGTTCTGCATGTACTCTCTCGCGTCCAATCCGTGCAGCGCATAATGTCGGCTAGGGAGGCGCCGGCTGATAATGCTTGTGAGGTCGCCACCCCTCTGACCGAGTGTCCTCCGAAGCAAGGTTCCACGCCCGCTAGTGAGAGTAGCCAGCGGATCCATCTAGCCAGTGTTGTCGTGGACACCGGTCCGTGAGGTCTTACGTAAAAATCAGTAGTTGGCTCGACGAATGAGATCGAAGGAGGGTAGTGATTTCAGTATACCTCATTAATGTTCTGACCACACATAGTTTGGGGTCTGACCCGAAGTATGGGTATGACACTGAAGATGAATCTGACTTAGTTTGTCTCGATATGGTAAAGGTAACTCCTACCGGTGTGAGAGAGAAACCGTCCACGTTGAACGCCCTAACGTCTGCCACCCGTCTAAATGAGACGAGGCATAATAAGAGGGCTAGTTTAGCTGAAAGTTGTTTCAATGACAGATAGGCATTGTCCGGCCATTCCCTAAGGAATTCCACCTGCCAGAGTCGTGAATACTTGGGTGCTGGAGGTCTCGTTAATTTGGCACCCCGTAGTAGTCGACAAACCAGTGGGTCTTGACCTACTGGTCTGCCTTGTACTGGGACGTGTGCTGCCGATATGGCGGATCTGATCACATTGAGGGATCTATATGATCGTCCCAACGAGAACAGATGTGATAGATAGTTAAGAATCAGTGGGACAGGGGCAGTAAAGGGATCGGAATCCCTTTCGACACACCAATCACTCCAGGCCAACCAGGCGGAAATATAGCATTTCCTGGTGCCGGGAGCCCATGAGTCCCATAGTAGGTCTTTAGATGATTGTGATAGGCCATGGACTGACCAGGAACCCCTGAAATCGTCCAGGCCACTAGCTCCAGTTGACCTTCCAAAACAAGGGGGTGGGCTTCCCCTCAAGGTCTTGTCAGAAGTAGCTGGAAGGTAGGAAGCAGAAGGGGATTTTCGTGAGACATCTCCAGGAGATCTGGGAACCATGGTTGGCTCTGCCAGAGAGTTGTTATGAGCAGGAGCGATATCTTGTGGGTACGTGTGTATCGAAGCACCCGCGGAATCATGGAGAACGGTGGGAATGCGTACGCCTCTTGAGCGGGCCAGTTCTGTAGGAATGCGTCCGCTGCTTCGCCTTTCGGATCCGGAAGCCAACTGTAATATCTCGGTAGTTGGTGGTTGGTCCTGGAGGCAAATAGATCTATTGTCAATGGGTCTTTCCACCGTCGCAGTTCTTGGAATATCTCTTTGTTGAGTTTCCAATCGCTGTTGTCTCGCCAGTGGCGTGAGAACCAGTCCGCCGTCAGGTTGGAGATTCCCAGTAGATATTCCGCCTGTAGCGTGATGTTCCGTGTTAGGCAGAATTTGTAAATGTTCTTCGTGGCTTCTGTCAGGGCTTGAGACTTGGCTCCGCCTAGGCGGTTGATGTACTGTACTGCCGACACGTTGTCCATGCGGAGCAGGATGCACCAGTTCGAATTGTCCTTGGCCAAGCTGCGGATGGCGAAGGATCCTGCGATCAGTTTCGGGCAGTTGATGTGTAAGTTGGTCTCCTCCCTCTGCCATGGGCCTACCGTGGAGCCGTTCGTTAAGTGGGCACCCCATCCCCACAGGCTGGCGTCCGACTCCACGATGATGTCTGGAGAAGAGCCAAAAATTGCCTTGCCATTCCAGGCTTGAATGTGAAGTAACGGGCCTGGGAATATCGCTTGTATGGAGGAGGAGAGGAGTCCCACGGGCGAGCATCCTGAGCGGTATGGTATCCATCTTCAATACCGGTCTGATTTCTTTCCGTATCGAGGCTATCTTTGCCGGGGGTAGCCGTAGCATGCATTCTTTCAAGTCGATGTCGAAGATCCAAGATGGCCGCCGCCCGCGTGTGGAAGTGCGCAACGGGTTTGCGGTCGCGGGTCCGTCGCGTGGCGAAAAATATAATAAAGATCTGACCCAGCCTCCCTCCACCCGTCCCCATACAGTCCCCTGAATAAACGAAACAAGGCAGTAACAGTACAAAAAACCAAAAGGGGGAAAGACTGTGGAATAAAAGGACAGATATAAGAGAGCCAGGTAGCAGTAGTGGAATTATAAAGCAGTTATATCAATTAAAAGACAGTGTAAATAGTAATATACCAGAGAGGTAAAATACTCTGACCTTTGTAGGCTGGAGCAGCAAAGAAACAGGAAGTGATGTCATAGACAGGGCCTTTTAGGGGCATCATAACTTTTTTCTGATTGGTTGTTATGTTTCTATGCTGCTGGAGTTTTCAGTAAAGAAAGATATGCAAATATGAAGCCTCCTGTCATGTGGTAAAATTAGTACAAATAACAACAGTCAAGATAATTTAAATGTGTTAATTAAAAAGCAATAACGATTACAAGACACAATATACCATACTTCACAATTCATGCAACCAACGTATGTGCTTATCATCAGTAAGCAGCAATATTAAAAATCAAAAATACAAAATATGATGCGTACCATATTTAGCAATTTTTTTATTTTAGAAGATGAGTTATTTTGTGTTTCACTTACTTATATTTAGCATATTTTGTCTTAATTTCATTACTGGATTTCAGTTTTGTTCAGCACATGCAATTGGTTGTCATTATGTATAATTTGTGTAAAAGTGTTATGCACATCACAGTGCTTTAATGTAAATCAACATATGGTTTCTTTATCTCTTTTTAAATTGTTTTATTAGCTGGTAAATTTCCTACATGATTATTCAGAGGAGCTGTATAAAACTAGAATGTGTTCAGGGTATCCCATATCTGCCACCCTCTTCTCAGCATCCACATGAGGTATACATTAATTTAATTATTTTCCTATTAGCTGTGCATTTCCTCCTTAAGGTATACCTGCTGGACTGTGTTTTACATGCCATGTACTGCAGGGGATCCCAATAGGTAGATCTCCAGATGTTATAGAACTACAACTCCCATAAAGCTTTGCATGCCTTTAGAAGGACAAAGCTTAATGGAAGCTGTACTTTTCAAATATCTGGGGATCTACTGTTTGGGCACACCTGCTGTACTATTTGTTCTCATTCTTTTATCCCTGTGCATTTTTATATTATAAGATAGACATATGTCAGTCATATTCCACACCCAATATGTTCAAGTTCTTGTGTGAAAATTCCATGGTTTGTATCCTTTTCTGTTTTGCTTAACAAAAATAGCATTTAAAAAATGTATATACCAACATCAATATAAGTATTGTTCATCTAACATGTCTACTACGTACCATTTTCAAATGTAAACCCTTGCTACAAGATTTCTTTATCGTTAGGGGAAAATGAAAGCAGATTACTTAAATACAGAAAACTCAGTTTCGAATAATGTTCTATTCTTTCATAAAGCATAAGAGTGCCAGAATAAATTTTAATATTATCCCGCTCACTCTCAGGCAGTTGAAGGTATTTCGACTCTACTTTACACAGCTGTATGTTGTCATTAAAGGCAAAGAAATACAAAAACGTAAAAAGCTTTTTCAATTATCTGAAAGTGAATGCAGAGCTTCTGGAAATTAAGTAGAAGGCCTCCTAGCCCTAAGGGAACATAACTCATCATTTATATTTCAGATTGAGATTATGATAGTTCTCTTGGTTAAACGACAAATAAAACAGGAATCTTGATATGGCAATTAAAGAGATAATTTATTTATATTTATTATATTTAAATATTTATTTATACATTTATTTGTGTCACATTAAAACAGTAAACGTTCAATTTTAATACTACTCCCATTCTCTCCTGAAATATAATCTTCCGTTTCTAGTAATCTTAAATACGACCCAAAATTGCTGACTCAAGCTAGATTTTATACTCTTCTTCATGGTGAAAAAAAAACAAAAACAATTTACCAGTAGTCTGTCACACTCAATACCCTGGTTTCTTAATTAATTTTGTTGTGGTCAGTCTTTGTACCTTTTCCAGGTTCACATTGTCTTTTATTTTCTATCTGGAGCCAAAAGTGCACACAAGTGTCTAACTGAAGTACTGAAAGGCATTCAGTGAGTAACTTTTTTCTGCAATGCATTGTATTCCTCTCAAGTGTCCCTTTATCGGAGAGGCATCCCTATTTATGGTCCCAAATTCCCTCTGACCCTCTTTTCTATCCCAATGTCCCTCTTTTCTAGGTGCTCCATATTAGTTAGTATGTTAGTTAGTGTGTCTCTGTGTAAAGCAGAGTTTTACAGCAATAATACTCACAGTAATGTGCTTTGAAACTACTACAAATGTATTTAGGAATCAAATACTGTCGCGATATTTACGAATGCACCGCTTGGCCACGAGGCTTGATAATGTGGAAGTGAACAATATTATACTCACCTATTCTGTTTGCAAGTCGTGAAACGTCACATCCACTCTTACAGTGGCTATGTCATCTAGACTACCCCATTCTCATACTTTTTGACATCTCAGAGATGACGTGGAACAATCAGAATCCATGTAAGCCTATATAATGCTTGTTTGGGCCCTTATTTAGTGCCCAATCATGGTTTCTACCTTGGTATCCATTTAGTGCATATAATTAGTCTCTCTTGAATTTTTTATATTGACCTTGGCTTGTTTATTAACTGAGTATTTCTGGTATCCTGATCCGGCTTGTTTATTCATATTTCCATATTTCTATAATCCTGACCTTGGCTATTGCTAATTTTGTCTCTATCTTTAAATAATATTAAGTACAGCCACTCTAAGGCATGGTAATATGTCTATATTTGATCCTCTATTTGTGGGTTTCCATATCCTGCAAGTTAGGGTGATCACCTTGTGACATGTTCTTGTTCTAAATTATATTTTAATTGCAGGAATTATTAATAAGTTATCTAAAATTTCTACCACTGGCCACACCCCAACTCATATTCCTAAAATGAAACGGTCCTTCTTTGTACATTTGAAATGTTAGAAGGTATGTACATGTGGTCGTAGTGTCTCCCATGGTTTTTACCATTATTATCAAAAATAGTACTGCAATTATGAGAAATGCTAGGAAAACTGAGATTTTAATGCCCCTCCTCCATCCCCACTGAAAGCTTGTAGCCTATCCATCCTCCTAGTTTTCCTTATATATGCCTCAACTTTGTTTCTGTTTGCAATCTTTTGTGGGGATTGTTCTTTAGTGATGGTGGGGCAATCACTACAGAGTGAAGCATGAGCTATCTTGGTAGACAGTGAAATACTGTAATATCTGAAACCTAATGGAGTCCTAACGGTCTTCATAGATGATGAGCGTGCCAGATACACCTACCTTAATAAGAAATGGTTTTACTAGCATTTAAAACACATTTATTATTTTGTGTTTTGTTGGGGGGATGGGGGGGTTGTTGTTTTTTTTGTTTTTTTTAGAGAAATTGAATAGTCATGCATTTCATTTCATTATTGTACAATATCATTTTATGGCATATCTGCTTTTTCCAACATGTGGCAAATGTCTGGAAGCAGTTAATATGTGAGAAAAGGTTTTGACGGGCATAGCAACATAACCAGTACAACAGACCAAAATAGAGAATTTCATTGGTCTTATGGGTTACATTTTCAATTTCATTTCATTACAACTTATGCCTTCATAAATCACTGTCTTCAGTCCTAGACCTTAACCCTTCCTAAAGTTTGCCGGTAATTTATGCTGGCAATGTAGTCAGATATTTTGCCTATTGTTGATATACGATACGGGTGGTATTGCATAACAAGTTCACCCTAGCAAACTGAAGATGCTACAATGCGGGTTAATTATAGTGAAATGTTAAGTAAGTAGAAAGTTGTCAGATAACTGGTTCACTGAAACAGCATAAACAAGTATATCCCATAGACAAAAATATAATTTATTAAAAAGTATGCAGCAGCATGAAATCCTCAAACCTATATAATAGATTTCAGGCTTTCTCCCAAGGGTAACATTTCTGATCAGCCTTTCATGTAAGGATTACAATCTCTTTAAACTTCAAGAAAGAAAAAGAAAATGGGGGGGATGTATTTTACCAGGTATCCCTCATCATTTGTTCCCCTATGCCTAATAAAAGGCCTTGCCTGGAATTTTAATCCGGGACGGCTTTTCTATACTCTTAACCCTTTGGCAAAGAATTGCCTGTTTCACTGGCAACAAAATAGTCAACACGTCCGTAGCTGATAAGGACTGTAACATGTTAACTTGGATAAACACTGAAGAGGTTAAATCTATAAAATCTATAAAGTGTTCTCTTTGTGCGTGCCTGTATTCATTAAAGGCAGTGCAATCCGCTTCTCAACAGGTATCTCCACTACAATAGCATTTTAAAGACAGCATGACATGACCAGATAATTCAACTATAAAACAACAGATGTGCAGCAGGTTCAGAGATCACCTTATAAAATTTACTGTGACCAGCAGAGCACCTGCAAGACAACTACAAAGAGGTTCCCGCTGACAGCACTTCCTCCTTTTTGAACATTGTACCTGTCTCTGTGAGATTCTTACTGCATCTTGGAAAGAGATTTTACCAGCTTGTTTTTATTAGACCGCATTCCCCATAGAGCCATATTTCACCCTTCTAAATTAAGCAGTTACCCTTTAAATTGGGAGCTGAGAGAGATGATGAAACGAATTTGCACCTGACAGCTTGATTTTTTGTCTTGAAACAATGTCACAAACAATGAGGTTTGCATAAAAGTGATCTGTAAGAATTACTCTGCCTGAGATTTTAGAGGTCGTGAGGGTATTCCCTTGTGTCATCTTTAAGTGGGTAAAACGTTTTGACACATCTGCCTTGTTTAAGTTTTCTCATGTAAAATTAGATTGTGAATTAAAATTAAATAAATAAATGTACCGTATTTTTCGCTCCATAAGATGCACCTCACCATAAGACGCACCTAGTTTTTAGAGGAGGAAACCCAGAAAAAAAAATATTCTGAACTGTTCCATAGTGTTTCTTAATATGGGACAGTTTGTTCAGAATATTTTTTTTTAAGGAATTTTTTGTTCCTTACCAC